TCTGGGAGTTGATGTCCTCACATCTTAAAGCGGCCAAGGTTGAGAAACACTGGTCTAGTGTGGTGGTGAAAACATCCTTCCTTCCAAGTCTTCCATAAAATTTTATTTATTTATTTATTTGTTTGTTTGTTTGTTTGTTTGTTTATTTATTTAATTTGTATAGCCGCCCATCTCGAACAAAGGACTGTGGGTGGCGAACCCTCATAAAATGAGTTCGACCAATTACAAAAAGAAAAATTAAATACGCAATGGCCGCCGAGAGGTATTATAATCCATAGGTGTTAGCATAACCAGGAAATGGGGCCCTGCACACACTCGGGACCCCAGGCCCGGACACATGACCTGGTCTTCATGAAGACCAACAAGGTCGGGGCCATCCTAATCTCAGGAGGGAGATGTTCCAGAGGGCAAGCGCAACTCCCAACCCTCCATCCAGCTCCCTTAGTTGTGCTCATCGTGTCCTGTTGAGGGTCTGCTCCAAAGCTCCTGAGCTGGCCTTGTGGAGGAGATATTCCACAATGGGGGGAAATGTTGTTCCCACAGGGAGCAGAACCATCTCCTTTACAGGCTGTTATATTACCTGGGCTTCTCTAGATGGGTATTTCCATCACAGGAGGCATTATCAGAACAGTAAAAGCATTAAAAACTCTCCTTGTTCCTCTACCCTCCCCACCTCTTTTTCCTCTGATGCCATGTCTCTCTCCTTTTTTAAGTCTGTAAGGCTGAGATTCAGGGTGGGGAGGGGAGAACAAGGCAATCCGCATTCTTCATTCTTCTATAGCTTATGTGAGCGGCCTTTCTGGCTGAGAATAAGCAGTTTAAATAAATGAATAAGTGCGTGCCCTCCTTTATGGCAATGTGGGATGGGAAATGTTCCAGCTGCTCAGCTTCACTAGGATCACTTGCTATTAAAGGCTTAAAGTGGGGCCAGAAATCCAGAGGTGAGGGGCGGGGCATGAATTTTAAATTTAGGATGTGGGAACATGCAGAATTGTCCAATCTTGGCTCCCAGTGAATGAAAAATGGCACTCTGTTAATGCCAGGTTCTCAGTCTTTCAGGCCTTCCGTATGCCGAGGTTTAGGTACAGAAAATATTCTGAATTTTGCCCAAGTTCTTCAGGAAAGCTCATGTGGTTTGTATATCCTTAGGATGTTCACATTTTGTTAATTCTTATTTATAGCTGGCTCGGTTCCAGCGCAGTTAACACCCACCATGATTCAGAAATAAAGCTTGAGAAGTTTTCACCACCTAATATTTTTTGGGGGGTGGATAAATAAATAACCTTACACTTGCTGAGTCTCCTTCTCCTTTGGAAGTGGAGGAACTCCTCTGGAGAGCTTTGGGTTGGGGAAGGCAAACGAAAGACTGTTCTCTCCTAATTCCTCAGCCCACAACGGGCTGCGTTTCGAAAAGAGCAGCGGGATAATTAAGGAAGGGGGGGTATAGCTGTAAGAAATCGCTGAGAACAAAGCGAATTCCCCAAGCCTCGCTTGCCAGCTTTTTTGGCCAGGCCGTTGTCCTGAAAACAAGTTTATTTGCATTTCTTCACAGCGTTGGGGAGGTTGCGGGTGGGGGAACAAAACTGGCACTGGGTTATTTGCAAGGGAGCTGCTGGAACGGAGGGAGACGCTGGAAGGAACAGTGAACGTGGGGCAGCTGGGGGACGTGCGGGAGGCGCGTTGGGCTCAGACGGAAAGGGGGAAAAAGTGATGGGAAGGGAAGATCGTCCTGCGGAAAAGAGAAGACCGAAGGGCGCAGTTTCTCAGTGCCGGGGAATAATAGGGTGTTGACGTCGCTGCGGCTTACGATGGGTATTGATGGAGGTGTAGAAGGGACAGAACGCTGCAAGTAGCAGGGAGAAATGGGGTTGTTTTAGATCGTGACTCTGAACAAAGCTGCGGCGAATTATCTGACGAGCCAGCAAATGGTTATTATCTATAGGTGTTCTCTCACCTCCCTGCTTACCCTTCTCCCCTTCTCTTTCTCTTCCTCCTCCCTAAAAAAAGAGTTCTGCCACCCACTAAACTAGTGTTTCTCAACCTTGGCAACTTGAAGATGGGTGGACTTCACTGGTTTTTGCCGTTTCGCCAGCATTCTGGGAGTTGAAGTCCACCCATCTTCAAGTTGCCACGGTTGAGAAATACAATTTAGTCCATTCCTCCTCCCTAAAAAAAGAGTTCTGCCACCCACTAAACTAGTGTTTCTCAACCTTGGCAACTTGAAGATGGGTGGACTTCAACTCCCAGAATTCCCCAGCCAGCATTCTGGGAGTTGAAGTCCATGCATACTGGCTGGGGAATTCTGGGAGTTGAAGTCCACCCATCTTCAAGTTGCCACGGTTGAGAAATACAATTTAGTCCATTTTTAGTTAGTTCCAAGCTATTTCTTAGGGGTTAATGTCATTTGAATTGTCTTAACTTGGTTTGTTTTACTGTTTGGTCAGTGGCTGGCTGGCTGGGGAATTCTGGGAGTTGAAGTCCTCCCATCTTCAAATTGCCAAGGCTGAGAAACAGGGCACTAAACCCTCATCCCGCGTAAACCATACATATGTCTGAGACAGTGGGCTGTAGTCCATCAAAGTTTCATCCATTGGGTTCTCGTTCAGGGGCCACAGAGAGGCTGCCTTCACACAAAGCCCTTGACCCTCAACGGGACCCACCCAACTTCTTTCTAAGGACCATGGTCCCCACAGGGTAGGGGAAAAAAAGTCAGGATGGCGACTGCCCTCTCACGGGCAGCGCACGTTAAAAAAGACAGAGCTCTGATCCTACCATTCTGCCTGCCATCTTGACTTTTTAGACCCCCCTGCAGGGGACCATCTGCTGCGCATCGGATGAAGAGGTCAGAAAATGCGGGTCGGGTTCTCCAAGGACCAGGACGAAGGCAAATCAGTTAGAAATCCAGCAGCTGCCTTCGTGTCTACGACCGGCCTGTCGTCCTTCCATGTCCCATTTTAAAATTCTGGGAATTGTGCATGTGTTGTTGAGGGGACAGAAAGAGGCTGCTTTCTAGCTTTCTCACAATCTCATGACACCTCTTCCATCCTGGTGCCTCCAGCTGCGTTCTGCAATTCCTATGATTCCCAGCCTGCCCTGCTGGGAATGATGGGAGTGGACGTCCAGCCCCTTTGAAGTGGCTCTGGTTGGGGTGGCGCTCATAGTTTCGGTCACCATTTAGGGTTTCTGGAGGTGTGGGAGGAAAACAGCATCCAGCCGAGGAGAGACGGTCGGGTGGGACCAGCCCCGGAGTGGCTGTGCATGGCTGCCTGCGGCAAGGGGAAACAGCGGGCACCGTTGCCCGAACCATTCGCTGCCCTTCCTCCTCTGAATATGTGGGCCAGAAATATTCCCTTTCCCTTTTCCCAATACCCCCCGGGTTCTTTCATTCATGGAGGTGTGGGTTTTTTAAGAACCCCCCCACCTTCACCTCTTCAGGAATTTTACCTCTCTTCAACGACAGGCAGTGGCGTGAATGCAGCCCCCCAGCCCGCCCTCCACATGGCCCCGGCCCTCTGCCTTCCCAGGGCTGCCCACCGCGCCGGGTGCACCACTTACCGTGAGGGGCAATGAGCAGATGACGAAGATGACCGTCATGAGGGCGAGCAAGATCAGGTAGTCCACCTCTTCCTCCCCTCGGCTGAACCAGCTCTTCCGGCGGCGCTGGCCCACGTTGATGGAGCCCCTCCGGCGCTGCTTCTGCTTCTGGTACATCTGGCACAGGCTGAGGATGACCAAGCCGTTGCAGAGGAAGATGGCGGCGATCAGGAGGGCCATGACGGTGGCGTAGGACAAGGAGAAGGCGACGCCATAGCCCAGGACCATTTCCTTGTCCATCTGGACGAAACACCAGGTCCCTGGGCAGTACTGCTTGTATTTGCCCACCTTCAGGAAGGGCAAGGCGCAGAACAGGGCGCTGAAGACGTAGATGGCGGGCAGGGAGAGCTTGACCCACCTGCGGATGTGATGCTGAGAGTAGAAGTAGGGGTAGCTGATGGCTAGGCACCGCTCCACGGCCATGGCGCAGAGGACAAACATGGCAGCCAGGCTGAAGAACATCATGGAGAAGGCAAAGAGGTTGCAGAGCCAGTCCTGGCCCCCCACCATGCCCACCAGGGTGGAGTTGCAGGAGTAGGCCACGAAGACCACGGGAGACACCACGCAGGTCCCCGCCAGGTCGGTGACCGCCAGGCCGGTCACCAGGATGCAGAAGGAGGAGGTCTTGGCGCGCTGCTCTTTCCGGTGGACCCCCAAGATGGCCAGGGCTGCCACGTTGCCCACCACCCCGGCGGCGAACATGAAGGAACTCAAGGTCGGGTTGCTGTCTGTCAGCAGGGAAGTGATGTTGCTGCAGTCCCGGGGCAGACTTTTTGGGGAGCCGGGGGTCAGATTGGGGCACATTGGCACCGAGGGCCCCCCTTCAGGGTTGGGGAGGGGAGGGAGGTCTAGCACTCAGCAGCTGCTGCTGGAGGAGAGGAGAGCCTCCTCGGGATCTTTTGCCCAGGGTAAAGGTAAAGAAAGTGGCCGCTCTCACCGCGGGGAAAGAAACCAGTAGGGTGCCTGCCAAGAGCACCCAGCCGGAATCCTAGCGGGGGAGGGAGAGAATCTCACTGAGATCTAGCAGCTTGGAGCACCCACTGGGGAGTAGAAGGATGGAGGCTCGCTGAATACCTGACCCCTCCGAGCGAGAAAGAAGAAGTGGGACCCGGCTGCCGTTCCTCTGGGAGGTTCCCGCTTGCGCCTCCAGCAGCCGGGGCGGGCGGGGGGCGGCAGG